ATGTCAAAACGAAACGATTGCTTTTTATCTAGACGACGTATCGATCGAGTTGATATTAATTAGTTCCACGGATTAATTAGAGGCTCAAAAGTTATGGCGTTAATTAGAGGGAACTGGCGTGGACGAAACGAGCGAATTTTACATAAGACTTTAGAAAGACCGCTGGCTGTTTTAATCGAAAAAGAAAACGTTACTTAATTTCGCGCAATGCCTGGAATGTTTATGGCTAGCGCGGCTAATTTGTTGCTATTTCGAGCGTTAAATCGACGCGAAATCAAATTGCAAGCACGCGCGGTATCCTTCGTCTTTATGGGATAATTGATTTAATAACTATTGGCTTGGCAAGAAAGTACTTTCGGTTTTTTAGTGTGAAATAAAACTCGATTTTTTCTATACAGTAAATAAAATTTTAATCGGTCAAATATCTTCCATTCTATTCCATGACCTTTTGCCATCTTTCTGGTAACTTCGTGATCCCGCGCTCATAGAATTTCTGGTCCTTATCCGCAAGAAACTTAACCAAGCGCGTAAATCTCAGAAGGCCGACCAGAACGTTGTGGGTATCTTTCAGTGAAAAATCTTCAGAACGAAATTTTTTAAACTAATTCTGACACGTGCGTTCCGTTAAACAATCGACACCATAAACTTCTCGTACCTCTTTGTGAGTCTCAGCCGCATTCTTGCCTTTATGAAAATAAAAAAGTAAAATGTGTCGAAAATGCATATTTTTGCACTCCATGATAAGACTGACCGTGAACTGACAGTTATAAACGAAATTATACGGAATTTCGCGAAATAGCAACCTGAAGGTATCGACTACCACATCTCGAAAGAAAAAAATTCTAACATTGACCAAAGAATAATTAAACAAGCATAACATTATTTACTGATGCAAACCAAAATTACTTTCTTGCCAATCCAATATGTATCCGTGACTAAATAAATTTATGCAAATTTACACGACCTTCGAATCTACTCGAAAGAGAATTATTCGGAAAATTTTCGAAGAGCCATCTTGGAAATGAACCATAAATCGAGTCGTGGAATAAAGATAAAGGAAAAACAAATTTCGTATTTTTGATCCAACGTGATCATCCGTCCACGTCAAACACGTGGGAAAAATACTCGTGAACGGGTGTAAAAATTGATCGCGATAATTATACACTGCTCGAAGCGTAATCCATGGAATCGCGGCATGCGCGATAGGAAAGAAAAGAGAGGAAGAATGGGAAAGCAGGCGAGGCATACTTATCTCCTTAAGCAGAGAAATAACGCGCGCCTCGTCCAGCAGGCACAGCCCTAAAAGACGAGAAGGAACGGCAGTGGTGAGTTTCACACGGGCGCTATTACTGTCGCGGTTTCGATTTCTCTAAAAATGCCTCATGGAAAACGCGGTAACAGATGATTTCCGACAACATCCATAACTCTTTCGGATCGCGGCGGCGTGCGCGCGCGCGCGCCCGATAATTTGTACGCGTTCGCTTAATGATTCGTGCATTAACCGGAGGTTCTCCCTTTACCGGCGATCAGTCATAACGCGATAAGCGGACGATAAAGCGGGAAATATCGCCGACACAATGTACGCCGCGTATTTCACCGAGAGGAACGCGCTCTCTGCCTGCGCATTGAGCGCCGATCGTTGACTTTTAATTGCTATACGCGAAACCCGAGACGTCGCCGGCGATCGGCCACGTTGATTTTCCACGCCGATTACTCCGCTTCCACGAAGACATTGCACCTGCCCGAGAATCCGGACAGGTAAGCCGCGTGTATCTTCGCGCACGCGCGTCTGTGTATGGAAACGCGCCGAGATGAATGTACAGGGTGTGTGCCGAGAATTCAGTACGAGTTACGGGGAATAACGAGGGCAGGGTGCGCGTGCTCCATAGTAGATTTAGAGCGAAATACGTATTCGCGAGAAAAGAGAATTCGTGGAAATAAAAATCGGATGAAATTTGCATATTACAATTGGAAAAAATTACCAATCCATACTTGGGTTATAATGCATGTATAAACATAGGTTGCTCGTGTAATGGATAAAAATGAACGTGATTCGACGCGTGTATATTCATTTTTATGGGAATTAAAATTAGAGCCGATTCGAGATCTATGATTGGTCCGTTAGTCACTCGTGAGTTGCAATTATGTAGGAAACTTTATGCCTACTGGTGTAGTAGAATTAACCCTTTGCACTCGAGAGGTGCCCTTCAGTCACCATTTCATAAAATTTCGAAGCTCGAGATTAATTAATATATCAAATTTAAAATAATGTAACAATGTGCAAGGTATCGAAATTAAATAATTCTACGTGTTAATTAGTATACGATTTCTTATTTACTACGCAACAAATATTATCAGCTTTACAGCAGAAAATTTGTCACCTCGGAATCTTTTTTAGCAAAAAAATCGTCAAAGGGTTAAATAGTAAACTCTACATCCTAGCGATGTGGGGGCTATCTACGTTTTGTCTCCAATCTTCTGAAGACGACTTGTGACCCGCGAAGACAATCTAAACAGACCAGTTCTAACCGTTCGCCCGTTCAATAAAAATCTATACAGTTTTTCCACAGTTTTCACTGACTATACTATTCCTTTGCGTTATAACCCCTTTGACACCTACCGATATAAACTATGACTAATTTTATGATGTAAAACGAGTCAAGTTGAACATCGGCAAGGGTCATTCACGACTTGATGAGAACCGATAAATAGCCATGGAAAATGATATATCGGTGCAATAATAACAGAAATATATAAACAACAACGAACGAGTGGAAACCTTATTTGTTAATTTAACAATAGATTTACGGACGCTATCTGTATATCTATTTCTAAGGATACCTGTCAAATTGACAGGTAAAGGAAACCACGTGCCTTTCTTTTAACGACTAGTTTAATTTAAAAACAATTAATATAAGTTAACTAAATCTGTTACCATCGTATAACTGGAGCAACCCTTCCATCAAATTGATAGGTTCCATAAATCTATTGTTAAATAGAGCGTTAAAAGAAGCGTCTAAAACTTTTGATCGAAGCTTCCAGAACTTTCTCGCAGTCCTCTCACAACGATAAAAAATATATTCGATGAAAAAGAATTTGTGTCATAAAGAAACGAGGAAAATGATTATTGTCAATTATAATATCAATTTTGTCAAGGAGTTATACACTTTCAGTAATTGATGACATAAAACGTCCGAAATCAGCCACTTTGTCTCCCCTACTAGTTTCAGTTTAGAGTAAAATGTTTACTCTAGAGTACATCCTGCTAGAAAATATTGAAAATTCTTCTTCTATTTCGTTTCAAACAGCTTGTTACGAGTAACAGGTTGAGGAATATCTCTAGATTCATTCGTCTCTGGGAGGGTAATCCATGGGTATCAATTGCAGAAGGGAGATTACATGGGAATTTCTCAGCATCTTTGAAAATTTTGAGCGGCATGAAGACACCGGTAGAAAAATATTATCTGTTAAAGAGATTATTTCTAGGTAATTGTAAACGCGAGAAGTAGGAATTATCCGTTCGCGTAATTTCATCAATGACACGCATACCTTCCAAGATGGATCGACCTGGATGAGAATATCATGAGAACGGAATTGCTCATTTGTCTAGTCTTTATCTCCTGGACACGTTAATTCCGAAATTATCGGGTGGCAAGGGAAACGAATGCTTGAAACCAGTTTCGCGTAGATTTCACTTTGCTCTTCTGCCTCGTCCTCCCATGTCATTACGCCATCGCGGAACACCGAGGCGAATCCCGCCTTTCTTTTTACTCCGTCTCTGTTCGCACAGAGCTTCCGACGACAAACTTCGCGAATCGCGTTTGAAGAGCAGCAAATTAAACCTGGCAAACTGGTAATTCGAAATACCGAACATTCCCGAGGATTTGCACAAGAAGTTGCTTCGAAATCTATCACCTAGTCACTGAGGAGTACGTTCGCTAAAAATTACTCTAGGTAGTGTGAAAAACCGTGAAGTACTGTTTAATTTGTTATCTTTAGGGTAAATACGAATTCCATTGACGAATATGACGTTACTAGTCCGAAATTATCAATAATCGTTGATACTTTGACTCTCATGGTGGTTATATATGACCGGTCACGGTTTCTCCCGTAACGGCACGGTGGTCATTGGTTAACGGAGTGCTTGAACTACTTACAATTGTAAAAATTGAATGAAAATTGAATGAAAATTGACAGTTTGTTGATTGTCAACCGTTACCAAGGCGCTACCAGTGGTCACCCATGACATATAATAAGATAAATGGAGATTGGGTAAAGATGTTGTTATATTACGAATTTGTTATTATTTTCCCATTATATGCTTTGAATAATAAAAATACTTCCATGGCGTTCTGAGTGAAATACGTGATTTCGGAGTGACAGTCAAAGGGTTAGTTATAGTCTAATCCAATTCCTCTAATGACTTCTTGGGACACTTTGATACTTTGACTCTCATGGTGGTCATATATGACCGGTTACGGTTTCTCCTGTAACGCCATGGTGGTCATTGGTGAACGGAGTGCTTGAACTACTTACGATTGTAAAAATTGAATGAAAATTGAATGAAAATTGACAGTTTGTTGATTGTCAACCGTTACCAAGGCGCTACCAGTGGTCACCCATGACATATAATAAGATAAATGGAGATTGGGTAAAGATGTTGTTATATTACGAATTTGTTATTATTTTCCCATTATATGCTTTGAATAATAAAAATACTTCCATGGCGTTCTGAGTGAAATACGTGATTTCGGAGTGGCAGTCAAAGGGTTAGTTATAGTCTAATCCAATTCTTCTAATGACTTCTTGGGACACTTTGATACTTTGACTCTCATGGTGGTCATATATGACCGGTCACGGTTTCTCCCGTAACGCCACGGTGGTCATTGGTTAACGGAGTGCTTGAACTACTTACAATTATAAAAATTGAATGAAAATTGAATGAAAATTGACAGTTTGTTGATTGTCAACCGTTACCAAGGCGCTACCAGTGGTCACCCATGACATATAATAAGATAAATGGAGATTGGGTAAAGATGTTGTTATATTACGAATTTGTTATTATTTTCCCATTATATGCTTTGAATAATAAAAATATTTCCATGGCGTTCTGAGTGAAATACGTGATTTCGGAGTGACAGTCAAAGGGTTAGTTATAGTTTAAACTAATTCTTCTAATGGCTTCCTGAGACGCTTTCAGGATTCAATCCTCTCCTTGTAAGACAAGTTAGAATGAACATCGACAGGGGTCGTGGCCCCCCGTCCGCGACTTGGTAGGGGCTGATAAGAAGAAGTGGACGAGTTGAGACGTTATTTGTAAACCCTTCGCACTGGAGAGGTGACTCTCAGTCACCGTTTATTTTAATGCTATAACTTAAATAATGGATGATGATAATTATATTAAGAACATCGAAATAAAATTATTTTATTCGTTCGTTTCTCACGCAAATGCACGATTTTCTTTTTTTAATTTTAGTATAAAGAGTATCAGTGAGTTTATAAAAATCTAAGAAGAGCTACAAATTGCATTTTCGCAACGAAGAAATCTTCGAGTCCAAAGGGTTAATTTAAATAAAGCGTTAAAGCCTTTAATCGAAGCTTCCACAAATTTTTCGCAGTCCTCTGATAAACTAAAAATGTTAAATGTATCGGGTAATTCGCGTGAAAGTCGCGTTCGAAATTTAGCAGATCTCTAAGAAGACCAATCACCCGATCGGTACCCCGTTTTATCTATCACGCGCGAAACGACCGATCGAAACGTGCCAAACTCGCAAGCCGAAGAGCCAGCAGCTTATAAACCACGAAACACCGCATAGAAAACGGAAAGGCAGGAATACCGCGGTAAATTAGCGAGGCATCTTCGGTGTAACGCGATCTGCCGACGCGGCTGGTAGGATGAAGCCAGATACGCGGGAATATTAAGGCGAGCCGCGGGACTTTGAGCGCGATAAGGCATTTAATACCCGCCACCGTGTTCGCGGCTTTTTCCGAATACGCCGCATAGTTGCGTCCTTGCCGTAGCTCATCGAACGAATCGCGTATCCGCGCCGGATAAAAATGTCCGCCGCGGCTCGCAACGATTTTTCACCCGATCCCGGCGTGCTCGTTCCGCCGACGATTATCGCGGGATAGCTCGAACCCTTTGCCCGTTTCGCATGAACCGTTACCGGCCCGGCCGACTGCCTAGTTACTGTCCACGGAACGAATTATGCCCGAACGTATTAAGGTGGTAAATCACGTTCGCCGCGGCGCGCGCGCGCCACCATTTTTCCGCGGGCCGATTTACAATGGCGGGCCTGACCCGGCCGCCACGCCGCCATTTTTCCCCTAGACCACGCGGAAATGCTCGAATTTAGACGCGCCGTAAGGGAATTGACACGTACGACGTCGGTGATTTATGCCGGCTGCTGGAATTGGAATTGTTTCACTCGCTCCGAGAGTTTATGGGCGTTAGAACGTTTATTGGTACTGCCCGAGAACGGACGCTCTTTTCCAATTCCGCCGCGCTTATGCTGCATGTCGCACACTTTTCGATTCACGGACGTGCCTGTTTTTATCCGCCGTTTTTCCTTTTCTCTTTATCGCGTTTACGAGCCGTTGTTCCAGGTCCTCCTCTCCTTGATTTAGTGCTTCCGGCCTTCTTACCGAGTTGGCTACTATATAACACACCGATTTCACGTTCAACGTGCTGACCGGGGTACGGATGAGGGAGCTCGTGAAAGGAAAAGATCCAGTTGCTCGTTAATTAACTGATAATAATAAAGCATCACTGGGTAATGAGCTAAAGCTGAAATCTTCCTGCTAGAGACACTTTTGTCACTGGAGCTATTAAATACTTATAGATCACTCGATTTTAGATTCTTTACTTTTGCAGCTACCGGATATATGAAAATTTTCGACTATAAAGGTTAAGATCAGATGATCTCTGTTTCTTAATTCCAATAATGAGACGGGAAATATTCGAATTTTAGTATATTCTAATTAACAAACGATATTTCTTATTAGAGACCCATTTATGGAGCACACTGTCTATTGTCTACAGTCATTCCCAATGCAAGTTTGTTTTATTTCTTTACTACCAGTGTTTCATCACACGACACACTCGTGACACACCACCCGGACACCACTTGCACTAGGCCCTAGTAAGAGTATGTAAACCACCAGTAGACGAAAGAGATACAGACCCGAATCTAAATTCCTACTAACACAGGAAGACTAGAGAATCCATAAAATACAAGCAGACTCGAGATAGAAGACAGTCATAATCACATCATCAAGACAACCATACCAGATTCGCTCTTTGTATTACGGTATAATGAAACACTGCAAAACCTGAATTTGAACTAGCTCACGTTGTTTCATCGGCTATTCTTTCTTGGGGAGAATAAATCAGACGACGCTTGTGTCTTTCTACAATTTGCAGTTCGTACGTTTTCATTTACAGTAATACAAGAGTAAATGCCTGATTTGCCTCAGTTCACGTGTCTTCGCGTTTACATGAACTCGGGTGTTGTGATTCACGTGGCAACATAAGCATAGTCTGATTGATTCTTTTCAGAGAAAAATCGGACGAAACTCGCGCAAGTTGTCACGAGTAATCCCGTTGACAAGTACACCTAACAGGACAGTAGTTCAAGTATCGGAAACGATGAAAATGCTCGAAATGCACAGTGTCAAAGTATTCAAAATTTTCTCCGTACAACAAAAAGAACGAATAAAAGCAAACAAGCTTTCACGAGAAACTCGAGGGATAACAGACAGAAGACAGACTGTCAGTTCCATCGTCACCTTATCCACGCGTCGATCACGCGCTTTCTTTTTCTCTGCGAACCTGTCTCGTCCAACCGACTACAGAGACATACTCAGTTATGCTTCCCGAAAGAAGCCAATAATCTCGAAGACGAAAAACGAAGGTGACGAAAGAACCCATCGGTTATCGGCGATGAAACATTGTCCGAGGAATAAGGACGCGTGTAGCACCGCGAGAAGAAGCAGGGAAGCAAGTGGCTAAAACCGAGAATCTCGCGAATCGGGCTTTGCGCGGAGGCACGATAAAAGCGGAGAAGGCCAGTGTACACGCGTGAGCGCATGCGTGCGTGCGGAGATCAGGAGATGCGAGAACGATCTGGTAACGAGTCGGCGGCATCGCAAAGCGAACACGATCTCCGATCTCTGCGATCTCGGATCTCGCGGCCCTCTAAGCGTGCACGAGCGGGCCCGCTCCGCTTGGAAACGACGCGTCGTCAACGATGACGAGAATGACGGGGAAAATGACGACGACGACGCGCGCCGTGACTCGCTTCGATCGCGATCTTTCGCCATCGTTCCGCCTTGCTGATGAGCCGTGCTAGCTACACAGTTGATGGGATCTGACGTTTTTCAGCGACCGGGGGTCTTTGAGCCCTGTCTTTGCACGGATTGCCACGATCGAACGGTTTCGCGCCAAACTACGTGCTCGATTTCTCAGTTCGATACCGAATTCCGCGGTTCAGGATTACGTGTGAAGTCCGACGAGAAATTTCAGAATTTCGTATAAAATTACCTGTAATACACCTGTGTATTACTATTCCTATTTCTGTCTCTGTTGATTTCGATGATGCTGTTACTGCTGCTATTGCTGTTAATGAAAATGTTAATTTTGATTGATGTTGATGTTAATGCTAATATTAATTTTGATGTTCACATTGATGTTGGTGTTAACATTAATGTTAAACTTAATGTTAATGTTTATGTTAATGTTAATCTCGATGTTTACGTTGATGTTGATGTTAATACTAATATCAATCTTGATGTTTACGCTGATCTTCACTTAATGTTAATGTTAATGGCAATATTAATCTTGATGTTCACCTTAATACTCACGATAATGTCGCTGTTGCTGTTAACGTTAACATTAATGTTGATATTAATGTTAATGTTCACGTTCACGTTAATGTTAATGTTCACATTGATGTAAATGTTAATCTTGATGTTCACGTTGATATTGATGATGTTGTTGCTGCTTATGTTAATGTTAATCTTGATGTTCACGCTGATTTTCACTTAATGTTAATGTTAATGCCAATATTAATCTTGATGTTCACCTTGATACTCACGATAATGTCGCTGTTGCTGTTAACGTTAACATTAATGTTAATATTAATGTTAATGTTCACGTTCTTGTTCAGGTTAATGTTAATGTTCACGTTCAGGTTAATGTTAATGCTCACGTTGATGTAAATGTTAATCTTGATGTTCACGTTGATGTTGATTATGTTGCTGCTGATGTTAATGTTAATCTTGATGTTCACGTTGATGTTGATGTTAATGTTAACCTCAATTTTGATGCTCACATTGATGTTGGTGTTAACGTTAATGTTAAACTCAATGTTAATGTTAATTTTGATGTTCACGTTGATGTTGATTATGTTGCTGCTGATGTTAATGTTAATCTTGATGTTCACGTTGATGTTGATGTTAATGCTAACCTCAATTTTGATGCTCACATTGATGTTAGTGTTAACGTTAATGTTAAACTTAATGTTAATGTTACTTTTGATGTTCACGTTGATGTTGATTATGTTGCTGCTGATGTAAATGTTCATCTTGATGTTCACGTTGATGTTGATGTTAATGTAAACCTCAATTTTGATGCTCACATTGATGTTGGTGTTAACGTTAATGTTAAACTCAATGTTAATGTTAATTTTGATGTTCACGTTGTTGTTGATTATGTTGCAGCTGATGTTAATGTTAATCTTGATGTTCACATTAATACTCACGTTGATGTTGCTGTTAATGTTAATGTTAATGTTAATGTTGATGTTGATGTTGGTGTTGATGTTGGTGTTGGTGTTGGTGTTGGTGTTGGTGTTGGTGTTGGTGTTGGTGTTGGTGTCGATGTCGATGTCGATGTTGATGTTTACGTTGACGTTTACGTTGATATTGATATTAATGTTAATGGTGCTGTTGCTGCTGCTTCTGATGTTAATATTAATGTTCACATTGATGTTGATATTAATGTTAAGATTGATGATGCTACTGCTGTTGCTATTCCTCCGAATTTTTACGAATTTTTGGACTCCTTCCGACAGGAATATCGCATTAAGGAAATAATCATCTTATCGAGTTTTACATTTTTTCCGGGAACTTTCGCATCTCGCGTTGTTCTCCAAGAATATTCGCAGCTTAATTAATATCGAATTGCCAACGATTCACGTGTCAAAATAATACATTTTACTTCGCGAAATATTTGGAAAGATTGAGAATTTCGTAATTCAGCGAAAGGAATCGTTTTGACTGACTAGTTACAAACACGCAAGTATCTTAATTGAATATCTTATTTTATCCATGGACCGATGAGACTCGCACGCGTTATCGTCCGTTCGCGTGCAAACGATGACTCGTTTATCCCCTATAAACAAATCTTTCTCAATACTCATTAGGAACTTGCACAAAGTTACGATTACCTATCATGGCTAACATTAATTTCTTCGTACCAGCGCGGGTATTCATCAGCTGGACCGCGGTAATGAATTGTACGAATTACGCAACGGAACCGTTTCCTCCTAGGAGGAATATGAAAAACAAGCTAAAAGTTGAGCAATCGTGGAAAGAAGTTAATGATCTTGTAATATTTTATGGCACTGATTAGATCCGCCGATTGTAATACTACATCCACATAAGTTTTCCTTAATTAACTTCTTCTCGAGTAAATATACCGGTATTCGGCTAAGTATGTTTACGTAGAAGCAGAAATATATCGGTTTATTAGAGCATTAAATACTAATTCCGAGTCGAACCCTTTCAGTAAAACACTCCATAAAATTGAAACGTCATGGCATTTGAAAAATTCATTTCTTCTGAACCTACTTCTTACAGAATAGTAATATTTCAGAGATAATATATGATTATAGTTTCCTAGACTGAAATGAAGTAGCATTTTCTATGAATTAATTAACTCCTCGACAACTATGCAAAATTATATATAATTTCCTATTTTCTAAGATATCAATTTCTTCGCAATTTAACTGACCAAATGGACAATAAAAATCTTCAGAAATATTTGCCAATTTTTTAAAAATAATTCATACTTTGAGGAGTTAATTAATATTTACGAGTCTATCTCGACTATCGCTTAATTATTAATTCGTACAGCTTGTAACGAATTCCTCCGAGAGATCCAAGGAGCCCTATTAAAGCCGATTTGGACACCCCTGATATATAGTATTGTTATTCGACCATAATCTCGCGGCTTCGTGGCGATCTTCGGCCTCGCTGTCCGGTTCGTTCTTAATTAACCGCGCGTTAATTAGCATGGTTCGAGTATCGCGAGTAAAGCATAAACCCTGGCACGCACACGCGTAAAATCACGGTTCGATCGATCGATCGTGCTTCTTGCCGCCGATTTCTTCCCGTACACCGTGCAAATGCCAACGAAGATCGGTTATCTGTGCGAAAATTAAGCGGCGCGAAACGATCATATTTTACGAGAAAGGTTTCACCGTGGAATAGGTGGAATCGAAACTTTTAACGATGGGAAACACGATCCTTTTCCGTGTTTTCTGCTTCCCATTTTACGTCGATGCATATCCTGCATCGAGTATCTTGACAATTTCTTTTCTTCGCGGATGTGTAGCAAAATGTTTGCAAATTTGTGATTCGAACGCAACCTTAAACCGAACCGATGCCTGAAGAGTGAATTAAAATCCAAGTTATAAATGATAATGAAGAGGTCATTAGACGATTAACCCTTTGCACTCGAGAGGTGAGCTTCAGTCACCATTTCATAAAATTTGGAAATTTAGAACAATGTGTGAGGTATCGAAATGAAATAGTTCTACAATTCTATTAATTATATAATTCCTTATTTACTGCTCAAAAAAGTATCGTCAGTGTTTTAGTGGAGAATCTTTGAATTTCTACTCTTTTCTAGCCAGAAATCGTCGAGTGCAAAGGGTTAATAAAGATTATCCTATCTAATTTCCTATTTACATATTCAATAATGAAATAGATTTAAGAAAAATTCAATTTCATTCTATTTAACAATAATTATATATTCACGTATGGTGTCTGAGATACGATTAACCAGAGGTGAGGAGTGTAAAACGCAATTAGTACGAGCTTTTCTCAAATTTAAGTAGTATTAACACGAATTTCATCGTACACTAATAGAAACATATTTTGCCTGATTCTCAAATATTTATAAACCCTCGCATTGATAATTAAAATTCCACTGCTAATATATGGAAACTTGGTAGCAGATAGCTAGGAAGAAAACGATGCACCCAGAATATACAGAAATTATGTATTACAGTTTCAACGATGAAAACCCTGAATTTCCCTTCCATAGTGGAACCAGTTATCCTAGAAAACTTGTTATTTCTCTTTACTTCACCATCAAAAAGTAGTACTTTCGAGAACGAGTCTAATTCGAGAATTTTCCATGCCGAACCTCACAAAGAACCCCTCAAATTTGATACATAGTGATACACAGTGATGGATTAGGATCAAATAGTCCTTCGATGACTAAGTTACCATAATAAAATCACAGTGCAAGGAATTAGTTATATATAATGACAATATAAATTATTTCCCTAACCTCGAACATAAATAATTCTAAATCTCTTACCTTACGGATTCGGGTTGCGATGGCGCGTGCCATAATCACGTCGGGCAACAACAACGTCGGTCACGTCGAGGCACGTCGAGTCACTGCGTCCGAACGCGGCAGAGGATAACACGTAACTGACAAGAGACGGAAACGGAAAGACACGGACGAAAATTAACCTCGAGCCTGACCAGTGTTGTTTACGTTGGTCCTTCCCATGGAACAAGGCTCGAGGTCATCACACTCGTGTTCTACCCGATACATTTACCACGAATCTCGTATAATATTGTAGGCCAAGGAATGAACTCTCTGCACTCGAAGATTTTTTCGCAATAAAGATACAATTCGAAGCTTCTTTTATATTCCTCTAAGCTCACCTATACTAATTATGCTAAAATAAAAAGAGAAGGAAATCACGCGTATTTCATTTTCATATCACAGGTCAGGGGTTAACTTCAACCCCTTGTACTAGGATTTAATCACGAAAAATTATGTATCGAAGTAGTATTCAGTTTTAATTAACCATTGAATACTTATTTCTGTGCATAATTGATTAGTATAGTTTACTGTTGAAATATATTTGCATATTCAATTCATACTTCGCGCCTTATAGAGCCACAGCGTGTTAGCAACCCTTGAAATGTATATAATTATACGTCATATAGTGAATATGGGTACGGTATACAGTACTCACATGCAATAGATTTCTAAAAAGATCTATATTAACTCATTTGCATCGTGGCTCTACTTAAGGTACCGTGTTCAGGTATCAGCGACGTTCAACTGACGACTAGCCCATATCACCGCGCGCGTATCAGCATATGAAGAATATTAAGTAACTGGTAATGGAAGAAAGTTAGCTCGCGGATTATTCCGCGCTCGGTGATAGGCGACAGTCGTGGCTCGCGGATTATTCCGCGCTCGGTGATAGACGACAGTCGTGTCTCGCGGAATATTCCGCGCTTGGATGCAAATGGGTTAATCGTTACAAACACACGGTTATATTGTTAATATATTATATTAACATTCGCGAGGTCTGACACGAAGAGTTGGACTCGTCACTGAAGCGCAAAGGGTAAACTATCCTTAATACACGATCTCGCATGATCGAATCATCCAACGAGTGGTTGAGCCCCAGCGTTTATACGTGATCGAATTAAATTCCGAATTTCCATGTCCACGCACAAAGTCTGCACTTCTATCGAATTCTTCCAGGAACCTCATCGTGTCTCGCGACTCGCGTCTCGTTGAAGGGGAAAAAAGAAGGCAAAAGGAAGAGTCCCCGTGGCAGCTCGTTGTATGAAATTCAATGTCGATCGCGCTGACATCGGCTTCGCGGGCCTGCGCCGCGATTCGAGGGGAATCTCAAGATCGATCGATCGTGATTTCGAGGAGAGACGCCGCTTAAGGCGAGACTCGAGCGTTGTTCGTCGCTCCTCCGCCTCGAGTTTCTTCGGGATCGTCGGCCTTGTACGGCCGCGCCACGATGTGGCAGGTGCAACCTCGACGACCGGTGGGTCCCTTTTTTCCTCCCTGCCCCCGCCACTCGCCGTTTCTTCCTCCTTTTTTCCCGGCCACCACCGGTTTTCGTCTCGCGCCCCCGGACGCCCCATCGAACAGCTGACCGCGGGCCAACCTTGGCCGACTGATTGCACACGGAATCCCGGTAACCACCGCGAAACTTATCGATCAGACCTCTTGTCAGAGTTCCCTGCTCGCTTCAACCTCCACGAGCTTCGCCGTGTTCAGATACTCGCTTAACAAGTACGAGGAATAGCTTTCCACGCTTTGCGCTCGCATCGAGAAATAGCAAACCAAGCTTCCAGCTATTCATTTTTCCCTTCAGAGTCCGTCGATCGTGTCGCGAAATACGAAAAACGCGCGATTTTTGGCAGCTCAAATTTAATTTCTTTTTAAATGCTGAAGGTTTGACGCCATTTTTATTTCCGAAGATCCACTGTTTTGGGGCCTGCAGTATAACGAAACTGAGAATTTAACCCTTTCACTGCTATGGGTACATATATACGTCCGGCAAAAGCTATTGGTTTAGATTATAGACGCAAATGCACACTCGGCGAAGCTTCTGATGGTTTATGTTATTGTAGGATGGCTAGCGATGAACGACACTAACAATGTTTTAAGAGTGGTAGCGAGTTGAATGAGTGTGCTATCCTACTTCTAAGGGACTACATGGAAACGTTTGTACAGCTTCTCGAAAAGCGAGGGATAGCGAATGACGGCATAGGGCCCAACGCGAAAGAGCAAACGGTAGTGCCAAATCCTTTGGTCGGAATGTACGTCGAATGATTGAGAAGGAAAGTATGTGCATGGAGAAAGATAGATTTGGCTTTAAGTAAGGATGCAAGTGCGCGAGGTGGTCAGAAGAGAATTGTTGAGAATGGGATAGAATAGAGTTGAGAATCGAGTGGAGAATTGAGAAGAGTGTCAGAAGAGATTTGAGTTGAGACGTGTGAGAAACCTAGGGTGATATTTTAATTAAATGAAATCCGTCTTGTTACAAAAAGAGAGTTATTGTTTGTTAGACGTGCAGATCTCTATCTGCATAGGATTAATATAGCCAAAAAT